AAGAAAGAAAAAGGAACTGGCTGGCTACATGTCGCCTCTAGGGGGCTACATCAACCCAGGAAGAGCAGGTTAGCAGGGATTACCAGGCAAAGGTAACCACACACCAGGCCCACCCTTCTTTGCTTTGTTGTTCCCTCCCATTCCCTATGAGCATTTCCCTGGGGGTCTTCACATTCTGCTTTTCTGGCAATCCCCGTGCACCTCCCAAATCTGCCTTTCCTCCTGTTCACCTGCCTGTGGTCTGTCAGTCAGCTGCACAGCACACTGCCCAGCTCTCAGAGCGCAGAGGAAAGTGGCTCTCCTGCACCAGCAACGCAGGCAGCCTTGTCCAGCAATGCTACCCACTGACATGATGAATGACATTTGCTTGGTATTTTTTTGGTACTAGTTTACATTTTCTGGTGCTGGAGATGAAGCCCAGGGTCTCAGCCTGTCAACCACATGCTCTTTTCCACCTGCAGGTATCTGAGCTACTCCCAGCCCCATTTGATCCCTTTTAAGTGTGCAGTGTCCTGAGCACATCCATTGTCTTGCAAGCCCCCTCCAGAGCTCTGTACCTCCTCAGGCAGAAGCTTTTTGACTCCCCTCCTGTACACTAACTCCCCCAACTGTTCAAGAGCACTTTAGGAGGATTAAACATCTCACAACCAGAAGCTGCTCTTTGGTTCAGCAAAACAGCACACACCTGGTGTGGTGGGGCCGGCCTGTTATCCCAGCACTAAAGGAGAACAAAGCAGAAAGACTTCAAGGTCAAGTCAAGCATGGGAAACTTAGCGACTTAGTGAGACCCTGTCTTCAAATTTTATTTTTTTCATTTGTTCCCTAAATAACCTACAGTTGATTAAAAGGGAATTAATTCATGACAAAAAGAGAAGATACTTGTGGAAAGAGGTGGGAAATGGACTCTGCACACACTAACAAGGCCTCTAAAACTAATGATGAGAGCGAACAATGTTTTCACATTAAAATATTCCGCTCTAGTTTCTTTTTCTTCCCTTCTTGCTTTGTTCGCTTCCTTTCAGTCTGTCTTTTTGTTTTGTTTTGAGGCAGGGTCTCACTATGCAGTACAGACTGGTCTTGAACTTACTATGTAGCCCAGGCTGGCCTCAAACTCACAGTGATCCTCCTGCCTCAGCCTCCTGAATGTTCCTTTCTTTTTGGCGGGGGAGCTAAACCTGGGGCCTTGTACCTGCCAAGCACATGCTGTATCTCTGAGCTACATCCCCAGTTTTCTTGCACTTTCGAATATTATAAATGTAGCCATTGCCAGCATGCTGCTTAGCAGGGGCTCCTCGTGGCTTACTGAGGTGGTGGCAGTGCTCTGAGCACATCAGTTAGACAAATGTTGCAGCATTGATTTAATAAATGAAACTTTTTCTAATTAAAAGATACAAAAAAATTCTGCTTTTTCATGTTTTTTCCCATTTTCACACCATTACAAAAGAAAAAAGCCCTAAAATCTTGATTATTCTTTCTCTGTAGGGCCAAATACTCATTTTTCTCTAAATGTATTAACCTGTGGAACTTTTCATACAATAAAATCTTTCAGGGGATAGACTGAGGTTTTAAAAGAAAAAAGAGCCGGGGAGATGGCTCAGTGGAATAAGTGCTTCCCAGGCAAGCACAAGGGCCTGAGTTCAATCCCCGGTTCCGAAAAAAAAAAAAATTAAAAACTAAAAAAAATGAAAAGAAAAAAGATATCTTGAAGA